CAATTAATTAGAAGACAATCAATGTTTGGCTGCCCATTCCTTTTTTGAATAATAAGTAAGAGAATTGTATTTTCACTTATATCCTTGCAGGAATTTGGATGCTTGCCAAGTTCCTTGGTGATGTTTGTGAAATTAATATTTCTCTGGGGAACTTTGATCAAATGGTTCACATGTTTGTTATTATAAAAGTGATATCCAGTAAGGTTGCTGTAAACATGGATTTCTCAAAACCAACTTATGCCAGACTACTCTTATCACTTTTTTCAATAGAGTTACAAGCTTGGTAGATGCAGGGAATGATATGGATGTAGCATATCTTGATTTCAGTAAGGCCTCCGACAAAGTCCCCCATGACATTCTTGCAAGCGAAATAGTCAAATGTGGGCTAGGCAATGCTACTATTAGGTGGATCTGAAATTGGTTAAGTGACTGAACCCAAAGGGTACTCACCAATTGTTCCTCTTCATCCTGGAAAGTGACTAGTGGAGTGCCACAGGGTTTGGTCCTGGGGCCAGTACTGTTCAACATCTTTATTAATGACTTGGATGAAGGTTTAGAGGGTGTGCTTATCAAATTTGCAGATGACACCAAATTAGGAGGGATAGCTAATACTCCAGATGATAGGATCTCAATTCAAAATTACCTTAACAGGTTAGAAAGCTGGACCAAAATTAACAAACTGAATTTCAACAAGGGCAAATGTAAAATACTAGACTCGGGCAGAAAAAAATGAAATACAAAGATACAGAATGGGTGATGCCTGGCTCATCATACTGCATTGGTTAGACCTCGCCTGGAATGTTGTGCCCAATTCTGAGCACCACAGTTCAAGAGATATTGACAGTCTGGAAGATGTTCAGAGGAAGGCAATAAAATGATCAAAGGTCTGGAGACCATGTTCTATGAGGAGTGTCTTAAAGAACTGGGTGTGTTTAGCCAGCAGAAAAGAAGACTGAGAGGAGACATGATAGCCATGTATAAATATATGAAAGGGTGTCATAAGGAAGAGGGAGCATGCTTGTTTTCTGCTGCCCTTGAAACTAGGGGCGCATCTAGACAGCCCCTTTAATGTGGGAGTTACCACAATAAAAAGGGGGCTGTTCAGATGTTGTCCTGGACAAACCTGAATTAATTCACCACAAACCAGGAAAAACCCTGGTTTGTAGCGAATTAATTTGTTAGTGGGTTTATTCCTGCTTGGAAGGTGTGGGATAAACCCACTACTTCCAGTGTCTGGACTGCAGTCCACACAATATTCCCATGGTTTTCTGGGCTAAATTAGCACAGAAAACTGTGAGAATACCAACTCCCTCCCCAAAAGACCCCAAAAGCAGTGTAAAAAAACAAAAGAACATACCTGGCCTCCATTAGAGGGCTGCCAGAGCTCTCCTGGCACATAGAAATAAGGGGGGGGGAGGAAAATCACTCCTGCCCCTCCCCTTTCTTCTGGCATGTCATTTGTATGTGCCAGGAGAACTCTGGCAGCCATCTAATGGAGGCAGGATAAGTAATTTTATTTTTTTTACTCTGCTTTTGGGATCTTTTTGAGAGGGGGTTAGAGTGTCCGGGAATTCTCCCAGAAAGTTCTGGAAGAACATCTGGACACCCACCCCAGAAAGCACATTTTTTAAACATGAATGCTCCTGGGATAATGGGCTGTGTGGAAGCACCCTAGGACTAGGAGCAATGGGTTCAAATTACAGGAAAGGAGATTCCGCCTGAATTAGGAAAAACTTCTCGACCATATGAGCAGTTCAACAGTGGAATTCTCTGCCTCAGAGTGTGGTGGAAACTCATGCCTTGGAAATTTTTAAACAGTCTGGATGACCATCTGTTCAAGATACTTTAATTGTGCTTTTCCTGCATGGCAGGAGGTTGGAGTAGATGGTCCARGTGCTCTCTTCCAATTCTATTATTCTATGACTCTATGATTTGTAGCAAAATATTCTGAAAACCTGTTTTCAATGTTTCAAAGAAGCAATCCTGCTCCCCCCCCCCCCACACACACACAGAAAAAGCATAGTCTTAAGAGATCCGGTCGGTCAGGGTCTCTAAGACTATGGGCACTAAATGCAGCTTGGAACTGGCATGAAAAATGTGTGTGTGTGTGTTCGCATGTTTGTGTGTGTGTATAATCTTTGAATGCTCATGTTTCATCAGATCCCATAGTCTCAGTAAAATAAATTCTGTTCTCCACTACTTTTCTAAGATGAAAATAAGCATCTAGAAATATAGTATTGTGCATTAGGAAGAGAGCTTTTCATTAAATCACGATGGAACTTACTGTTCAGAACACAGTACAAAGAATTTGACCTTTAAGGAGGCATAGTGTCCCCAAGTGTAATATTAGGATATTTAAACAGAGATCAGTACTAGTAAAGAAAATAGAAGCAATAAATTAAAAATAATAGGTGTGTGTGTATATATATATGGGGGGACGAATAATATGGTGCAGTTGCTCTTAGCATGAGAGAAAACAATAAAAGAAATGCTTTTTAAAAACTACAGTGACTTGATTGCACAGAAGCAGAACCACTGAAATCCTTAGTCTAAGCAGACTTGTATTATGCTTCTAGATTTTGGAGCTCAAGGAAGGAACAACATGAGGACAATGTTTATTTCTACCAGTCCAAATGTCATGCACTAATATGGAAAGCAAGTGTATAAGTGTGCAGAAAAAAAAGAAAGAGTATCTCACACCCAAGTCTCTTAGGAGAACATAAAACTATACAGAAAATACAGTGGTAGCATGTGAGAGTTACCAGCTGCAAAAGTGAATAAGATTTCTGTACCTTTAACAATTGTTTAGGAAGGGAAATGTCAGTCTGTGAAACTTGTCATGTAAGCAACACTTACCAATGATTCCTCTTCTTCTCTTTTGCTTTCTAACACCTTGTTACAGTTGTCATTGGCCTAATTTACACTTGCCATCCAGGTGTGAAAAAGAAAGGCTCCCAGTTAACAGAATTTAGTCTTTAGGGTCATTTTATATTTGGAGGGGTTTGTCCTATATCTGTGCTTCTAATTACAGTATGACTAAGAAATTTAAGCAAGTTTTCCATGGCTTTCATCTGTTTCCACTTTTTTGTGTGCTGTTGGTTGCTGGGTTAGGATCAACACATGGGAGCTCTATACTCCATTGGGTCTGGAGCCCCCAGTGGCGCAGTGGGTTAAATACTTGTGCCGGCAGGACTGCTGACAGATGAAATTAGGCCATCTGATTGAGTTCCCTCTGTCAACTCCAGCTCCCCATGAGGGGACATGAGAGAAACCTCCCACAGAATGGTAAAACATCAAACATCCGGGTGTCCCCTGGACAACATCCTTGCAGATGGCCAATTCTCTCACATCAGAAGTGACTTCCAGTTTCTCAAGTCACTCCTGACATGAAAAAAACTCAATTGGATTAACAGAGAGAGTGTTAAGGAGTGCAAGTCAAAATCTTTCATCTCCTCTCCTCTGCCAAAGTTAATAAGGAATTATCAGCTTTGCCATTTTATATGAACATCCAGAACAATATTAAAAAATGAGGATTTGATTAAAGGAAAGTTTTCATTTGGATAAAGATATTTTTAAATTAAAATCCCCTCACAATGTACCAAATACAGAATATTTTTAAATTAACAAATATTGGAATGGAAAAAATGAGTTTGGTTTACTCGAAATTATCTAATTTTCCAGTCTTGTTTGGAAAATGTTGTGTTGAGATTACCAATGAGGGGAAAACATTTCAAACAAATGTTCAATATGTTCATGTTTGCTTATGTCAAGTGAACTAGATATAAGCCTTTTAGTTGTACAAAACTCTTCATAACAAATATCAGGTAGAACCACTTTTTTTACCAGTTCTGTACAACATATATGCTTTTTTTCAAGTTTCAGTTGTTGTTATGTGCCTTCATGTTAAGCCTGATTTGTGACAACCCTATTATCGAGTTTTCTTAGCAGTATAGCATTCATCAATTTTTCCAGTAACATTTACAGTTCTTTTATGAAATTACCAAAATGAATCTAGTCATGAACCTGCAAGTGAACTACAGGCTTACTTTTATATTGCAACTCCTGTTCTTTGACGTGAAAAGTGTCAGCCATTTACAAATACTCCTAACATGTAGTGTACTACAATCCTATGAATATCTATTTGGAAAGTAAGTCATGTTGAACTTAATAGGACTTACATTTGAGTATGCATACATAGGATTGCATTGAAAAAGAAGCACACATTTATATATGACATATATTTATTTTGAGAAAAATAGTTTAAAAATAGTCCTCAAAATTTTCTCATCATTTTCTGATGTTAGATATTTGGATATTATCACATCAATATCCAATATCTGCATAAAATACTTGGCATCTATTGATTTTTCAGTATGTTGTGGTTAAAATGTGGCATGTAATATTTAACACTGGGCCATTTGTGTTTAGTTTCTAGCAGCATTTGCAATCATCCTTAGCATATAAGTGTCAATAGCTTATCATAGCCATTTGTCAATCTCGAGGTCATCAGGAGATCCCAATGTGTCTAAACTTTGTTAAGCACTTGCTTTTTCAGTTTTGAATTCCATTTTACATTCAAAAGGTGAATTTAACATTTCTCATTCAATGTTGTGAAAGTCTACATTCATCTCTATGTGCACTCAAACCTGATATTGTTGGTATCTCTACTGGATAAGGTATGGTATATAATTCTCACTCTGATCCCATGAGGTGGAGTTGAAGAGGATTGAACATATGTTCACATGTGCACACATTCCTTAAAAAACAGTGAAACATCACCATAATGTTTGGGAGGAACAAAATCACTTCACTCCTAGTTCTCTTTTGCATGGCAGATGGCTGAGCAGCAGGACCTCAGTGTTTAAACAATATAGATGAGTAAGTTCCACACATGTAGTCTTAGTTATAAGTCAGCATGTGTGCATTGTAAACCCATTCTGAAAACTTGTGCTGAAGGATTATTTGCTGAAGTGAAATAAAAAGGACTTTAAAACTCAGTGTAAGAAATTATTATACATTGTTTTATGTATCTTTATATAAAAAGTTACAATTAGCAAGCATATGACACAAAGAAATGGATAGGAACAGCAGTAATATGAATGCATGCTTTTTACAATGTATCTCATCAAAGGGATTTCTTGCCATTGCTGTCTGGCCAACTCAAATATTCAGCAACGTACATGCAAATCAGTTTCTGAGAGTCAAATTCAGTTATATTGTTAGATTTATATCTAACAAATATTTCTAGTGAAGTGATTGTGAATGGGTAAATACCTGATTTAATCGTTTATTCCTGAAATTGGGTAATATTGTCTTCGTAACAAAATATAACAAAGCAAACAAAAAGTATAAATAAAGGAAAAACTGTAATAGTAAGAATAAATGATAGCAATGATAAGTAATAAGAGTCTTATTGCCATCCGTTAGGTTTACTCATTACTGACTGATGATTTTTTTCATGAAATTGGAATAGCTGGTCAGAGTCCAGAACATCTCTAGCTGGTAGTTCCAGGGCCGATTTTCACAATTCACTGTAGCATATTCAAAATCACTCAGGATCGCACTATTCTCAAGCAGTCTACATAATGAAAACAATGTACATATAACAAATTCAATGTAAATAATCATATCTGACATGACACATAATACAGCAGTACATAAGAAGGACATTAACTGGATGCCATGTTTAAAAAAATAATCCCAAACACACTCACTTGAAAATGTGTTCTATGGAAATATGCAGAATGCAACCTGCAGTATCTATGGCCTGAATTTTATACCTTAAAGCACTCACTTAAAAGTGTTTTACATGAACATAATCATACATATTATCTATATATCTGCCAAATAATTGAGATACTACAGGTTGAGTATCCATTGTCTAAAATTGTAAAATCTGAAATAGTCCAAAATTATCCTCATGGGCAACTGAGATAGTGAGACCTTTGTTTTTTGATAGTTCACTATTTTTTTCATGCACTAAATTACTAAAAATATTGTATTAAGTTACTTTCTGACTGTGTGAACAATATGTACATGAAGCAGAATTTTGTGTTTAGTCTTGATTTCGATCTCCAAGATGTTTCATTAAGTGCATATATACAAAACAGGTATTCCAAAATCCTTCCCCTAAAAATCCAAAATCCATGACACTTATACTCCCAGGCATTTCAGATAAGGGATTCTCAACCAGTACAAGAAATGTGTGGGAAACATATCTTGTATGTGCAGACAGTCATGTAAAACACTCTTCATACAAAATGCTGTATATGCTGAGGTTTGATTGACAGGCACGTACACACAGAACTTCTATCCCCTGTCTATCTATAAATTAGCCAATATTTCTGAATTAATAGGTTTAGAATTAGGATGTAAAGATATAAACCTGTTCTGATTCAGAGAATAATAGTCAACAGATTGCAGCTGATTCCTATTATCTGTTTTTCTGGTGTCACAAGGTAAGTTTTGTAAGCTGCAATGAGAGGGCAGGGGGGCTCTACTGATGCATTTGTAACCAGAGGTCATAAAACTACAGCATATATGTATGGCAGAAATTGTTTATGATGGGAGGTGCAACACTGAGTAGTGTTTATCCATATCATTATCATTTCATAATCCATATAAAAAGAACTACTGATTTGGTGTCAGGTTGCAAATTCCATCACAAACCTGGGTAAACATTAAGGTGGTCCTCTTAAAACTTATCACTTTGTTCAATAAACATCGAGACAGGGCTTTTTTAATTAAGAAATTTTGTGTGCAGAGAGATTCTCCTTATAGGATTTTTTTTTGAAGTGAGCTACATCCTTAAAATTTACTCAAGCCTTTAATACATTTTCTTCCTAGCTTTAAGCTCTGCAAAAATGTCATTTTCTCCTGCTTCTGCACACTTTAGCCATTATATTCTGATTTCTTTTAATTATTTATGTGTTCAACTACTCTGTGCATATAAACACTAAAGGGCAAGATAGATCTGTCCTGTGGATCTCAGGATTAGAGCAGGATGATACTTGATTGAATCATTGGGTCTAATATTAGCTTGACTAACAATTAGCTAATCTGTTGAAGAGCAAGATAGTCCGAACAGTAGCAGGACCTTGCTACAAGATGTTGACTTAAATCTGTTTGTTAGTCCCAACTGAGGTAGAATTGTTGATTCAATGAAACACACATAAATAATGCTTTAATAAATTCAGTTTGATTTTTCTCTGTGTTTGTGTACAGAGTTGCCTGTCGATTTATTTCGATCCCATGGGTTTCATAAGCTTTTATTAGTCAAGGAATGGTCAGAGGTGTTTTTGCTAGTTCCTTATTCTGAGGTTTCATCTACACTGTCAAATAATGCAGTTTGAAACTGCATCATACGGTCAGTGTGGTCTCATATAATGCAGTTCAATGCCAATGTAGCAAAATATAGCAATGTAAATGGGATTTGTAATATACTCTACAGCTCCTGATATTGGTTGGCATTCCCCACCTCTAAGTCTTTTTTATAGAACCTCTTAACCACTGCATGTTGTGTGTATGTTTATGTGCCTTCAAGTTCCCTTTTGATGTATGGGAACCCCATGGAATTACACAAGGTTTTCCTGGACAAGGAATACCCAGAGGTGATTTTTAGTTTCTTCCTCTGAAATATAGCATGCAGCACCTGGTAATCACATGCGGTCTCACATCTAGCTACTAACTAAGGCTAACCCTGCTTCGCTTTCAAATCAGATGGATTCTGAATGTAACTTGCAAAAAAAAATTGGCCATTGTACTCTCCTTTATACTTAAATTTTATTTATTATGAAAAGATATTTTAATGCAACTAATTATTCAGTTTTAGTAAAAATAGGTTTTAAAACAAAGAGCACTGAGCCATTTGTTTTAAAGGCAGCTTCTAAATGAAACGGGTTTCTTAGGAAAGGTCCTGTTTGTAGTATGAATACAAATAATGGAATTAAACTGAAAAATTTCCCACCTCTAAAAGCCTCCAAATTGTGGTTATTTTTTACCTTACTTTTTCCATTTATAAACAATAGGAAGCTTAATGATTTTACCCCTAGTATCTAAATACAGGGTGTGTTAACATTTCTTTCATAAACACTTCACACATTTCAGAACATATACAAAGTGACTTGAGTGGTTATACTGGAAAGCTAGGCAATACATGGAGGTCTCCCACTCATTTATTTGGATTATTAGAGAAAATTAGTTGTGCTCAGCAGGATGGAACAGAAATAGTTTCCCCTAATCCTGAAGACACTGGCTTCTGGAGTGGCTGGGAGGGCTTCAGAGGTACAAAAGAGTAACATGGATCTTTTGAGTGTTTTGCATAGAATTTTTAAAAAATCAACATATCTGTTCACACACTTCAGAAAACAGCATGTAAACTGAAAATGGAACGTGATATAAATGGAATAGCTGGGTTAAATTCTTACAAGCTAGCTGTTAGTAAAGCATTTTCTGAATGTTTTGTTTCAAATCTTAGTTTGACTAAGCATTTAAGTGTTCTCAAACAAACAGCCTGATTCACAGCTCTTGAGGCGTTAGTACCAGTGCTAATCTCATTGCAGGGGCAAGCTTTTATATGATCTCCAAAAAGCAGTTATTTTAATCTCGCCTTCCATTTACTTTCTGGCTGGTTATTCAAGGCAGAAACTTACCTAGTGATAAACAAAGGGATGTGTACGACCTTTGCTACTTCATATATATTTGTGAATGTCCAAACAGCAGTGTAGGAATTAAACAGCACTGTGCATTGGGTTCTGATATTCAAAAATCTCACTGCAACTCTGCCACAAAAATATGGTCTGTCATGTTTAGACATATAAGAGAATGCATACAGCCCTGGGTTTGAAATTGAGATGCTATATCCCACAATTCTTATTTAAAAACTTCCAACCAAGATTGTTAGGATAGAACAGAGTAACCTTCTGTACACCTGAAGGAAACCTGGGATACCCTTTCAAAACAAAGAGATCTACACTTAAAACTCTTCCTATTCATTCAGCGTGGATCAGGCTGTAAGTTATTATTTGTTGAGATACTTTAAATATAATTTGCTTAAATAAAGTGAATGTTCATGGCCAAGCATCTGTTTAAAATTCAAGCTTAAAATGGAGGTTATATACAGCAAAACGTTATAATGCATAGTGACTTATAGGTTTTATACTGGCCTCTTGGATGTAATTCTGAATTCTTTGTAGGCTTAAAGCATAGCACCATTTTCAAACAAAACAACACATACATAAAAGCACACACATACATACACACAAAGCAAATGATAAACAGCAGTCAGACTTATTTGGAAGAAAACAAATGGAATGCAAGTGATGAAAAATTGAGAGCTATATATTTACTTACCTTTAGTCTGTCTTTTACACCCTAGTTGTGTTGTACTCAGATTCATGTTTGTTTAGAGACCCAATGAGGCAGAACCTGGAATGTTATGGCTATTTCATTCAACATAATAATGTTCACATAGAAAAAAGAAATATATGCATATACATTCTTAATTGAAAGTATACCTTAGAAACCTGATAAAATTGATCCAAGACACTTAAAACTGGCATGCAGGTAGAAAAAAATAATGTTCTTGTTAACATAACCAACCTTTAAAGTAACTGTTCTCATGCTCCATTTTAAGCCAATGGGACTACTGACAGATAACTTTAAGAGTCTGGTGTCTCTAGTGACTTATATGTACAAAAATGAAACAAGGGGCATGTAAAGAGAACAACAAATCACATAGAGATAGAAAAACATGCATATGAAACACAAATCTCTTTTAAAGGTTCTGATTTCAAATACCTTGTATGCGAGTGCTTTTGTTTTTGTGGTTAGTTGCAGACTTTTAAACCATTCTTATTTACAGGCATTCAAGATGCAATACATAGCAAAAAATGTTCCAGGTCAATAGATAAAACAGAAATCATGCCAAACTTGAATTAGGAAAGTTATTCTCTACTACACTGTTTCCCATAAGGAGTTTTAAGAGAAAATCAAGCTAAAGCAATATAAAAATTATGCTGTAGTCTAAATGACAAATAATTTGGACAAGCAGCGATTATATGGTCAGCAATAGAAATCTTATTGTAATACTTTGAAAGATTGATATTGGCTATATTAAAAAGTGGTGTTTCATGTTAAAGATTGGTTTCTCTCACTGATCTATTCTGAATCAAACAGTATTTCTGTGATTTCAGAGTACTTAGATTTTTCAACTACATTGAAGCTATGGTAATACTGACTTTTCCAAGAAAACTTCCCTTTTTGCTGCAAAATAGTCTTTGCACAGTAAAATATACCTGTCTTTTCTTTCATGTGTGTGTGTGTGCATATAAATACAATTTAAACTTTTTTTAAAAAATAAAAAAATGTAATTATAGAGAGCTTTTGATAAAAGACAGAAGACCAAACTAAATATGACATAAAAGATTGATATTTAGGAAGTCCTACTTAAAAGCAAAAGTGACATAGTGGCTTAGTGTTGATCTTTCCCTAATCTACAACACTCTATCCAAAAGCAGCTACTGAACTTGGTTGGAAGAAGAACCATTCTCTATATCACACCAATAGCTGCTTCAGAATGGTAGAAACTAGTTCAGGGAAAAGCAGTGGAGGGGATAAGCTAAGCATCAATACTCAATTTTCAAAGGAGCAGTATAGTTCCAATTTTTTCTAGTTAGTGAAATAAACTCAGAAAACCATTAGTAATGTGGGTGAGCCCAATTGTAAATTTTCTATGGTCCCATTTCATTTGGCCCAAAAAGGAAAAAATGGAAAGACTGAAAGACCTATTTGTATAACATATGTCAATCTGACTAATAAATAATTGATAAATATATAAATGATTTTCAATAATAGCTTTGTATTCTTGGCAAGATATGTCTTTTACTTTCTTACTTCCATTTGGTGGTAGCCTCCAAACCCTCCCCCTTTTTAGGAGCAATTTTGTGCATATATTCATACCACAAACTATGTAAATGCATCTTGGGTAGAGAAATAATGTAAAGAACTGATATAAGATGATCTGAACTCTAAATGGAAGTATAAATTAGAGAACAGAAAGAAAGAGAGAGAGAAAAATGTGGGATTGAACCCAGTCCTTACACAACAGTCTTCATCAAAAATCTATTGATACTGACCGCTGGACAGCTTTATCGTGTCTGGACAGCCTGTGACTCGTGGTTGGTACCTCTTCGATTTCATCGATCTCACACGCATCTGCTGCATCTTGTGAATAGCTATGTTTCATGACAAGAATATTTCTTCGGTTCATGGGTTGGATCAGGGGCTTTACAGGCTGAGGTTGAATTTCTGTCAAGATAGGCGTATCTCTTGTGCTGAGGTTACTACGGCTGCCCTTAGTGCTAGATAACTGTGATCCACAGTGATGGTCATGAATGCATTTTGAAGATGATCTACGCAGTTTATGATAATTTTCAAAATCATCTGCAACATCTGCAAGGTCCGCTGTAGCCCCTGTTCCTCTAAGAGTGCATAACTCATAGTGAGGAGGCTCAAACACCTCCTGGAATACTGTTTGATCAAAGTCTGCTTTCCTCTGGACAAATCTTTTACGAGGCTGTTTGACTTGTACTATAACAGAGATAATGATAAGGAGAACCACAATACAACAGGTCACCCCAATTACTGTCCCACTGGTATTGGTAAGCTGATCCAACAGGTTGGCTTTTCTCTTCTCTGTGGAATGCAGGAGAAGGAAATAAAACAGATAAACAGCAGAATTAATATACATCAAAACAAAAAGTAATGTTCCTTTTGATAGTTATCACCAACACATTGCCATTTGTACTATTATAAAGGAGATTAACTAAAAGACAAATTCAAAATGACACAAATGGTGAAGTCTCATCATTAATGGCAACCATCCAAAATGGTTCTGGCCATATACAAGTTAAAACCTGTCTATGTAACACTGATAAAATCTTTCTCAAAACTATGTGCAATGGCTTTCTTTTTAAGATGGTGTGACTGGTCTAGGAATTCTACTGTTCCCAAACTAGTGTCTTCCAGAAAACCCTTCCAGGATCAGGAAGATCAGCACGGTACAATTAATAGACAGGACAGATGTTCAAACTCCTTAATTAATAGAAGCTGTCCAGGAGAAGCAGCAAGACCCATAGATTCCCCCTGTGGGAGTATGTGAGGTTATAGCCTCTCCAAAAAGACAGCACCCATTAGACAGGAGATGAACGCACACATTATCGTTAGTAGCTGTTCTTATCAGTTACAAATGCTGGCCAATCCAACTATGTTTTTTTTTTCATTTTGTTTTTATTTCTATTTTATTTCCTTTCCCACACCCTTGGAGTTAGTTGCAACAAAGAAATAAGGAACAAAGAAAGACAAGGATACTTACGCTGCTGGATAGAGGAGGGAAGAAAGAATCTAACTGAATTCTGGACAGACTGGCAAGTACATTAATTGAAAGGATCTAATGAGTTATCCTTTTGAAACAAATTCATTGGAAAGACAGCTGAAATGAAGGTAGATTTAACAAAGCAATAAGATCATTTTGAAGTGAAACTAACAAACATATTAAGAAAGAGAGAAAAGTGGTGGATTTCTGTTGAAGAAAAAAAATTCAAATAAAATATAAAGTACTTTTTTTGTTATAAAGCAACAAATAATTTGCTGAGCTGTGATTGCAAGTTATCAGATTGAAGAAGGGGAGTGGGAGAATCCAGAGAAATTTGACCTTGGGAAAAGTGCAGCCATAACATTCCACTTTGCTCTATGCTTCTAAGAAATGAGAGACTTTGTTTCTTTAACAGTCAAATAGTAAGCATAAAGAAGGTGACACCCTGTTGTCAAGTGAATTAGGTCATATAGTGTTTTAACTAACCCAAATGAATAATGATGAATAAAGGAACAAAAGAAGACAGCCAAAGGCAAATGAAGCTGCAAATTGAGAAGTTGATTGAATGTGTGGATAGTGTTAATAAAAGACTATATGATATTTTGTGGATAGAGTCAATAAAAGACTATATGATATTTTGAAAGGGGTCAGAGAATTCGATGCCAAATTGGAAATTTTAGCTCACAAATTGAACCAATCAGAAAAAAAACAAAGGGAGGTGATGACGGAGGAGATAAAGCATCAGACAGGAGGGAATCAACCACAGCAGCAACCTTCAATAAGAGTTTTGAAAGAAACTATACCACCACAACAATTGGACCAGCCACTTAAATTTCTTGAAGTTGCTCAAAATTTGAGAAAAATGCTGCAGATTTATGAGATAAATTTTGAGTGTGACACCGAGAATACAATCCTTAGAGATGTAGTTAAGATATCCAAGAACAAATCAAGAGATTTTATTTCTAGGTGGCAACTGGAAGAGCCAGTAAAATGGATTACAAGAAAAATATAGCTTTGAACGACTATGGATAGACTACAGGACTTTGGCTAAAAATAAATATCAATAAGAAAGGGAACCTTACATGTGACTGATTAAGTATTAAAGGCAATAGCTATATCAGGATTTGTTGACCAAAAATATGTAGACTGTCCTATAGCTACATTGTGTATTGTCTGAATCTCTACATTTAAGAACCCGGGACTATAATTAGAATGACATCTTTTTAATTAGATCTGGAATGTTTATATAAAAATACAAATTTTATGTAATACATCTACCCACACCTAAGAGATTTTGAAATGTGATGATTCAATATCTCTTAAATAGGCAAGTACATAGAAATACCTAAGTGCTATGTAATGTTAAGGGGGAAGAATGGTAGCCGTAACGATATACAGCAAATTTTGTTTCTACAATACTAACTTCCTACAGACTATCTTGAACTTTTAGATTTCTTAGGTAATAATTAGAATTAGATAAAGATCTAAAAGAAACAGTCTGACAAGAATAGTCAAGATGGATTTTTAAAGAAGAAGGCTGGAAAAGAAGAATTGTATGAGAAAACACAAGAAGACATTAGAGGAAATTACTATCAGATTTAAAACTGACTGATAATATCACCCCTCTTTGTTATACATATGAACTTTTAAATAGCTTTTAAATACCTTAAGTAATGAAAATAAGTGTAATGGAAATGAAAAACTAGATGTAATAATTATAACTACTACATACATTATCTTTTTTTCCTACCTCCACACCACTCCCCTGCAAGTGGTGTGCAAGACTTAATTTACTAACAATAAGTTCACTACCCGTACCTCCCCTTTCTTTTGCCCCAACCTCCACACCCCCTTGTATGTGTGTGAAAATAATATGGAAACGTCTATTAATATATATACACAAACACAAAAAAACCCATGTGAAATAGCAATGGGAGAAATACCCCCTGCCTACAAAGAGCAAATTCCCAAATGGTATTTAATGGAAGTGGTATCTTCCCTTTCCAGATATTTTTGGAACAATAATTTCAGCCTACACAACTTCACTTTGGTTCAAGGAATACAGTTTTCCTAACAATATAAAAGTAAAATAGAAGCCCAGATAGAAGTCTAGGCCAAATGAGGGGGGGGGGGGCTTCCTCCTTCTGTTTTTTTCTCTCAAGCAGGTCATTAAACATTCCAAGAAAATCAGTGAAGAAATGAATATTATTAAATTGTGCTGTAAACTACCCTCTGCTCTAGCCTTTCCAAAATCAAGGAAAGAAAGTCAAACACATTTACCATACTATGTATAAGTCAACCTCGTGTTGGTGTTGGGGCAACATTATTGGATTTTCATGTGACCTGTGAGTAAATCATGCATCATTCTGTGAAGGGAAAGTGTCAATACTTCATTGTGGGGAGGGGGGAACCTGCCATGGCTACCACAAGTATTTATCAACCCAGGCATTCCAAAATCCCAAAAGCAATGTCATGGTGGGGAGACTAGATGGGAATGGTGTTTCTTTTAGATTCTCACAGGATTGATCTTGCCTTTGGCCACTTACACAGAGAAGAGAGTGGTTCCTTTTTTTCTTTTTCTTTTTTTTGAGAAGAGGTAAGGTACAGTAGTTACATACATAGACCTATGGATAAGTCAAGTTTTTCAGGTTAATGTTTTGACCAGAATTTCAAGATTTATACATGGGTATGTAGGTACCATCTGGAGCTGCCTCCTTTACTTTATCTTATGGTGAGCATTGGACATTTCATGCGAAGCCATGCTCAGAAATAAAATGGATATTGTATGGCATGGAGTTTGAAACAATGACTTCAAAGGTTTATTGTTTATAACAGATTAACTAATTGGTAAACTAGCATCAGTTTATGGAGTTTAAATAGAAATGTACCTACCTCCTTGAAACTTGCCTCAAGTCTAAACATTAATGATGTATTTGAAATTACTATTGTTAGATAACATTTAGCTGACTGAGGAGGAACAGCAAAACTTATTAGAAATATGCTCACCCAAAATGGAAAAAAATACCTTCTCTGTAAGTCATTACTTACCCTTTTACTCTAAGAAGCAGTTTAAGGTTCATGAATATAAATCTGTAGTGCATCACTGCTCTACAGCCAGAGAACAATCTTCTCAGGCTTCTTGTCACAGCTGTTCATTCTGGTAGCATAAATTTTCCTTGCTGTGCTCCAGTGACCATGTGATTATCACTATATGCTGAACTGATTTCCAAGTCTTGCCAAAACTTGTTTTAAAATAGCACCACTACTTAGTAAAGTGAAAAGTTTGGCAAAATAAATGGTTCTTCAACAGATTTCAAAAGATTCTTACTGCTGGTGTGCCTCAGACAGAGAAAGAATTGGGGATATTTTTTTTCCTCATTTTTCTTCTCAAAGGTATCAACAAGTAAATTACAAAAATTACAAAATAGCAGTTTCTGCATTGGATATAGCATTTTCTCTACAGAAATGAACTGGATTTTCTGTGCAAAATAGACTGAAATATCTTTACAGAATAGGATATGCATAAAAATATCTTCACAGAAAAATAATGTTTTCTGCACAAAACGTGTCCATTTTGTAATTCCAATGGCAAAAATTCTTGTCATTGTTTCTCAAGGAAAAAAAGACAATTCTTAACCCCCCCCCCCCCCCCCTCAGAAGGAAATGATGGTGTGGAGAAGAGGGCACTAGGAAAAAAAGCTGTAAAGTTAATGGAAAAGCATTGGGTTTCCATGTATCTTACGAACTTTGATACCTTTGGAGCTTCTTATCATATGGGGACCTGGGAAATGCTATCTTACTGGCTACTGTGGAAGGTTCTAGATTAGCAATAATTCTGTGGATAGTCAAATGGGTAGTTGCATAGCCTTTTGACTTGTATGACTTCTATGTTGGAAAATGTGTTGTAATATTCAAAAACTCATAATGATGCAGGCATATTATTTCAGTAATAAATGTAAAGAAATGCATTAGTATTAATTTTTCCCCAGAATATTACTAAAGAGTAAAGAACATGGGTTTTCAGCCATTTGTGACAAGTTTGCAAGCTCTACTGAAACTTTCAAAATTCTCAGTACATATACATGCATCTCTCCATATATCTCCTATCTCCTTTTGTGACCCACTAGTGCTTTGACTCCTCCTATCAGTCTCCCCCTTTCTTGGTTCCATGCCTCTTACATTTACCTGTGTTTTTAAACTGTATTTTTTTAAAAAAATATCTAATTTGTTTTTTAATAACTGCCTCACTGGGGAGCTGTGTTTCCCTTTCCCAGGGCGCTTGTGTTCTGCTTTGTGCTGGTCAGTGGCCATAAAAAAATTG